CTGTGCTCCTGCATTGCCTAGTTTAGGGGTGTCAAACTCACCTTCTGCCTCAGGCCAGATCTGCCCAGGGAGCTCTTTGTAGGCGGAACCAGTGGTGGTGGGGCAAGCGCACTGATTGCTGTGGCGGGTCCTGGGTTGTGCAGCAAGCCAGTTTCCCTGGCAAAACCCATCAGATGAAGCAGCCCCACAGGCCGCATGTGTAACCTGCTTGGCTTAATGTGTCCTGCATCTGTTGGTGACATCACACCCAGCTCAAAGGTAGATTATAAGACGCATGTTGTCTCGGTCTTTGCTTTCCAAAGCAGGGAAGTGGGTTAGGGACTGGGGACTGTCCCTTTCATTCAGTCCTTTCCAGAGCCAAATGTGCAGCATGGGAGTGGGTTTTACTCAGACAGCTGGTACAGACGTGTTTTCAGTTGTCCTGTGGTGACCTTGCAGCGGGAGAAAACATCTGATTTGATTATTATTAATGGCTGTAGCACTCCAGAGGGCATTGTGTACTGCATAGAAATTCATAGGAAAGTAGGGCTGGAAGGGACCTCATATAGTCATCTAGTCCAGGCCCCTGCTCAAGGCAGGATCATCCCCGACTAAACCATCCCAGCCAGTTCTTCCTGTTTGTTCCCCATGCTTCTCTCATGAGCATATAAACAATTTCGGGTGTCTGAGTGTTCATAACGTGAGGGTATCTATTACTGCTTCCCCTTACTAAGTTTTTATGCAGGTCTCCAGGCTCTTTATTTACCCTCTGTGCTTTTGTCTCCATCTCCTGGTGAACCGAGTCTAAAGCCCTTCTCACTGGGTTGGCTAGCCTGTATGCAAAGTCTCTGAAAAAAGGCTGTGCCAAACTCAGTGTAGACAGTGCTTATGAAGTACATACTGCTGGTGGTGCTGTGGTATTAGCAGCATCCTCTCTCCTAATTTTCAAGGCTTCTAATAGCAGCTCAGAAACTAACAATCAGAAGCCTCGAAAACTCATCACCTTCAGGGCTGCTAATACCACTATAGGGATAGTGCCACATACAACAGAACATCTGCTATCCAGAACAATTAGCATTGCCATCCTGGATAATTATTCTTTCCAGGTAATCAAATGGCACAGTACGAAGTGCTGGAAACTATAATTACTGACTATAAAAACTATAAATATTAGAAAGACAGCGAGCCATAAATGTATAGTACTGGGTAACATTTTAAAATCTCAAAGGACTAGTAAAAAACACACAGCTGTCTCACCGACTAGCAAAACCGAGCTGCAGCCTGGTGATTTTGTTGATACAAAACCTCTGATTAATTGATTTTCTGGTTAACTGACTCTGCTAAACTTTAAGAGCATTACTTACAGCACTGTCGGTGCTGATGTATTGATAGCCCAGTGCACTGATTGGGGCCCCTCATCTTCAAGGCTTCTATTAGCACCGCTTTGACAGATGTTCCGCCTTCACTTTTGGTGGTACAGTTAAGCCAGTGATTCTCAGCTGGGGTACTATAAGATCCGTTCGAGGGTGATACAGTGCCACGCAATATTAGCCCTGCTAGATGTGCAAACTCTTGCATGATTCACAAGACAAACCCAGAGATTTCAAATAGGAATTCAGTGTCAAAAATCTTCTGTCCTGTTGTGGGCTTTCTGAGTTTTTTGCAAGAGTAATTTCTCTGTAGTCAAAAAATGAGGGAAAGCCAAGAGCTGGCATTTTCCAGTGGGTGCCTCAAGTCTAACAAGGTAGGCCCGGAGTCCAAAGAGTTTGAGAACCACTGAGTTAAAGAGGGGTACTATTAATTACGAAGTAGGGGCAGACATAGCTGGAGTTACTACTACATAACTGAAGTACAATTGGTAAAGTAGACCACAGGGCTGAGAGATGATACACACTTAAGCAATGTATTCAATCACCTGATATTTAGCTAACCAAGATCTGTTATGATGGGGGCAGTAGGCAGCAAATCATCTGTTATGCCAGTGGTTTTCAACCTGGGGTCCATGGATCACCAGCTGTCTGCAGGCTATGTCTAAGGTGTCCATGAAAGAGGAGTTTGATCAATCAAAAGTATGTAAATACCCACACTTACAATTCAAAGGGGTCTGTACCTCCATTTGAAACTTTTTGGCAGTCCACAACTGAAAAAAAGGTTGAAAACCACTGTCTTGTGCAATTAAGCAAATTATGCGCTTCTCCAGTATGCCCATAAGTGGAGTACAGTGTGTATGAAAAGAGAAGGTTGCTGTGCTAAAGGGTTGATGGTCTTATCTTAGACAATATATAAATGAGGGTGACTATAGCAGTGGAAGAAGTGAGGCAAGAAAAAGATGAAATGGTGATAGGACAGGGGTAGGCAAAGTTTGGCCTGCAGGCCTGTTTGGGCCCGCAGCAGCCTCTGCGCCAGCAGCTCCTGGCTGCCACCACCGGACCCAGCCCCGCTGCCCAGGCACCCTGACCCATCCACCCCATACCCACTGCCAGGAGCAGGACCAGCTTGGGCAGGGCATGCACGCGGGCAGCTGGGGTGGGGCCACAGCTGGGAGAGAGATGGGTGGGCAGAGCCAGGGAGACCCTGGGATCTTGCAATGGAGATGTCATGGTGTTAACGGCAGGGCAGAACCGCGATCTGCTGCCCACATGCCCCTGCAACAGGGGAGGGTTCCATGGACAGGGACATAGGCAGTAGACTTGTATTCACAAGGACTAGAAAGTTTCTTTTAAAATAAAAACTGAAATTCCTGTGATTTTTGTTATCAGGGGCTTTAAGAAAACTGAATAATGCAAGACTCGTGATGCGGTTCTGAGACACAGCAGCATGGTTTGCCTTGCGGTTTTAAACGGGGAAGCTGAATTGATGAACTATGCAAATCAAATGGAGTTAGCACTTGCTTGTCAAAGAAGGGTGCTGTGAAGTCCAGAAACAAAAGTGAATATTATAGAGGCAAACTTATAAGCACAGCAGTATTCAGCTCTGTTTTTATTATCCTGTATCCTTAATTGCTCTTTTCCCATAAGAGGACATTCAAATTCAGGGTTTCTTTATAACAACACAACTTCTTCAGTGACTCCAGATTTTTGGAGTCACTTTAAATACTGATATTAAATATTTAATAATGAAACATTGATCCATTTCCCTTTAAATATCTTTATATTTTCCTGGTATCACTTTTCTTCTTCCATGAGAACAAGGCCAAAAATACTGCCATGACTTTGTGGGGAGAGCTATTTACGGTAGCTTCAAAAATGTCAAAAATTTCTGTAGTTAATATAATTGTTCAGATAATTTTTAAAAGGCAATATAGTAACTGCCTGATTGGTTCACTTTAATTTAATTTTTTTTTCCTAGAATGCACTTCCAGGTACAGGTCTAATCTTAAGGGGACTTTTGAAATGCCCTTTTGAGGCTTCCTGTTTTATTGATAACTTTAGATTAGATTTTCTCAATACTGCTTGCAGAGGACAGGGTTTTGTCAGCCCTGAAAGTTTAGCCCTTCTCTGTACTTCATCAGTGGGAATGAAGGCTGCAGGTGTGCAAGACTTTCACTCCTAATCAAGGACAGAACTTGTTCCTGTAGCTAACAGCAGTGCACAGCTCAGTGGCGAGCCCCAAACGAGAGTCCAGCTGTGCCACATTGCCTGTGCAAATCTACCAGTAGCCACTTCCTTTTGTCACTGAAGCAAGCAGAGACAATCCTGCAGTCCCAAGGTTCAGGGGCCGAAGCCAGGCACCATTTTTTACACAGCTCCTTTTCAGAACAGTGTTACACATGCAGTGTTCAAAACAGGATCACGGGTAGGCAGGCAGTGTACTTTTTCCACAAAACATGTCTGGATGTTCACCTTGCTACGGTCATCTGATCCCAGCAGTCTTTCCTGCCCAAGTGCGGGGGGGTCTGGACCTGATGATCTCTTGAGCCGCTAACATCTTCCAGCCCCTAACATCTATGATCTGGGCTTGAGAAACGGAGACTAGACTGGACTGAAATCAGCCAGGTTCCAGTTATGTTCTTCAAGCCTTTCTTTCTCTTCCGTTTTTTTTTCTGGCACCCCTCCAGCAGTGGAACAGAGAAGTGGGTTTTGGTGGTAGCATTTGGTAGGTTACCTGGAGCTTTCTGGCCACCAGTCCAACTATTACAAAGAAACCCTGTTCTGTCCCACCTGAACACCCAGTGCCTGGAGATGAGCTAATTTTAGTTCAAAACTGCAAACCAAGACAAGGCCTACAATCATGTTTGACCCTTTAAGACAAAGCCTAAGGAGTTGTTTCCATTGTCTTGGGTAAAACCAGTGACCGTGCATGCACGAGGTTGAAACTTCCTCAGTACCCAACAATTCCCATCTGGTTTCCTCTGAACACATATGCGTTTTCTTTCCAGTGCTTGTCACGAGTGTAAATCAAAGATGAGGGCTTATTTTAAGGTGTAAGTTTATTTTATCCACAAGAGGAGCTATGTTCTCTTGGCAGTACGTCTGTAAGCCATCTCATAAACTTTGCCATAAAACAAGCAAAGTTCAGAATCACTCCCGCGGGTCTGAAATGTGTAGGGCCAGGTCACGGAGCAAGTCGCTCGTTAGAATATCTGGCTGCTTGCAATGCAGGGGGCTGAAGGCAGTACTTCAGTGCATAACAGTGTTTGTCTTAAGTGTGCATGACCCGAGGTAAGGAAAAGAAATAGTAGTGAAACGACTTTGCAAAACTATTTCTTCAGCACTACTTATGAGACAAATCAGGGTTAAACCTGAGTGGACAGGGCTTTAAAAATGTGACGTGTCTTTAGCGGTATATTAGCACATGCCAGCTTCTCTGGTGTCACTGACTGTTTGCTTTGTGTTGCAGTGGAAGATTGATGACAAACCAGTAAAAATTGACAAGTGGGATGGATCAGCTGTGAAAAATTCCCTGGATGATTCTGCCAAAAAGGTGCGTTCTCTCTGACTCGGTTCCTCTTGAAACACTGAGACCTCTTCTTGTGTCCTGAACTCTCATTGAAAGCCAGTGCCAGTGCTGAATGTCCAGCATCAGGCTCCCAGGGACTATTTCCTTTTAGAGCTGGAACTAACCCTGTAGTTCATTGCCTTTCTGAAATGCTTCCATGTAATTAACCTGTAATTCCAGCATCATTTCTTGCAGCAATAAAAGCAGACTGTTCAGCATCAGGACTTTTTCCCCTGAGTTTTATAGAACATGTTTTTAGCTCTAGTTTCTCAGATGGGAACTTTCTTGCCACCTCTGTTGCCATTTTCATGAGTCTCCTGGATTTGAACTGGACAAAGCAAGTTTGTGTCCAAAATGACAGGAACTAATAACCCTCTGCTGTAATTTCCTGCCCTTGCAGTGGTCTGTGTATTGGTGGTGACCTGATCCCTCTTACTCTCTTCTTGTAGTATAATGTAGGCTTGGCTCTTATTGGTTGCACCACTGGGCAAGAGGGGATGATCCTCAGGACCATTTTTGGACAAATGGTTGCCTGCCAGTGCAGGGGACTAAAGTAAATGGCTCAAGTATTTCCCTCCAGTACTTTATTCCTTTCTGAGACCCAGTTCAATAATGGGGAAATCATACAATTATCTTTCTTGTCCTAAAAGAATTTCACCTGCTTTCAGGCATCACCTGAAGTTAGTGCCCGAAGGTAGTCACAGCACACAGTAACCGGGACTCTCTGCTTTCTCATCAGGTTCTCCTGGAAAAGTACAAATACGTGGAGAATTTCCATCTGATCGATGGCCGTCTCCTCATCTGCACAATCTCCTGCCTCTTTGCCATTGTGGCTTTGATTTGGGATTATCTGCATCCCTTTCCCGAGTCCAAACCTGTTCTAGCCATCTGTGTGGTGTCATATCCTTCACCCTGTGCTGCATTTGGCGACACTTGCCTCTTCTCATGAACAAATGAAACACCCCTCATTGCATTCCTCCTTTCAGGTACTGCTCAGGATGTATCAGTTTTTCTTATCAGAATTTCACAGGCTTTGGAGCTAGGCAGGTTTCTTTTTAGCTTTCTAGTTTCAGTTAACATGACAGTCCACATGTCCTGCCTGCTTGCAGCTGCAGTGTACTTTTGACATGCAGCTGTTTTCTATAGTTCAGGTGCTGAGAGTGCAGCAGCAGCAGGATCAACTGGTGTACAAGGCTGCCTTTGAGGAAGGAAAGGCAGCATGAACAGGGGAGGAGTAAAGAAGCATGAGCCACGGTTAAATGTAGAGAGTGGTTTTAAAGATAGGGGATCAAGGAAGTTTCGTAAATCAATATTTCAACTGTAGTGAAACAGCCCGCCTTTCTCATTGTTATGGGGATGGAGCTCTAGTCTCGAACCACTAGAAAGGCATTTCAGAGTGAGCAGATATCACCTATTTGCACTTAGCTTGTTCATGCTGATAAAATGTCAACCAAGAACCAAGTTGTAAACAGTACGGTAAGACGATAAAAGATTAAACAGCAGATTTTCAGTGGAGGCGAAGGATTTACGTACATGTTTGCTATTGTTATGTTGTTGTTGTCATGTGTCCCTCATATGCCTTTCCTTAACTGGCCCGCACTTATTTTGTGATGATGGGGATTCTAACCATCTATACCTCGTACAAAGAGAAGAGTATCTTCCTCGTAGCTCATAGGAGAGATCCCACAGGGATGGATCCGGATGACATCTGGCAACTTTCTTCCAATCTAAAAAGGTGCGGTGGGTTCTGCAGCTGTGAGGACCAGCCAGGTGCAGAGCAGTGGAATAGCCAAGCCTTGCTGAGGCCTCTGCCCTGCCCGTGTGTGTTCTCTTGTGGGGTACCTGATGTGGGATCCATCTCCCTTCCCTCTGTATGGACTAACTCAGAGTAGCCCCCAAGTAAGTGGCTGGGCTGCCTCTGCCTGTTTCCGGGGTGGACAAGCCCTGTGGAAGGAGCCATCTGGTTACTGTTTCATGCGCTGCAGTCCTTGACAGGTGGCTTCTAAGTCATATTCTTTGCTAGTTATTAGTCAACCCCCCTAAATGTTCTCCAGTCCGCAACCTTCGCACCTGCCTTTTACCAGTGCTCTACTGCCATGACTGCCTATGTATAAATGCTCTAGGTAATTCCTCCTTGGTATTTTATAGCCTCTTGAGTCAGTTGTGCCTTGTTAAAACTAACTAGCTGAAAATAGCAATTAGGCCAGAGCAATCACCTGCCGCTAAGCAGCAGAAGTCTTCCTTTCTCAGCCAAGCTGCCATGAGATCATTTCAAGGGTACTGTGAGTTGTCCTATAATGTCAGCACTGTTAGGTGTGCAGATGTGGTTCACAAGATAAACCCAGAGATTCCAGGTAGGAGTCCATGGTGTTAAAAATATTATGGCCAGTTGTGGGCAATATGAGTTCTTCGCAACAGAAGAATTGTTCAGTTATTTTACTACAGCAAAAGCTGTGTTAACCAGCACCTTACAAGCCGGCATGCTGTGTTAACTGGCGTGCTGGCTTGCAAGGGAAAAGTGAAACCAAAAGTGCCCACCATGGCACTTCCAGTTTTGCAGAGCCCCCACGACTTGCGGGGGGGGGCATGGGGAAGCAGCCTGTGCTGCCAAGCCCCCATGGCCCAGGGCATAGCAGGCTGCACGGGTCCCCCCTCCTTGTTCCTTAGGGCCCATGGGGCCCGCGGGAGGGGCAGCAACACCCCAGACACGGTGCCCGAACAAACGCCTGTTCAGGCTGGTCAGTTATCCAGCATATTTTGTTATCTGGCACCCTCCATTCCCCCATGGGTGCCAGATAACAAAGCTTTTACTGTATAGTCAAAACATGAGTGAAAACTTACGGGGTGCCTTGAGTCTACCAGGAGGTTCCTTGAGACGACAGAGGTTGAGAATCACTGCTGTAGGCCCTTAAACAACAAGTATTACACATAACCGATGTATGTGTTGGGGCGGGTAGAGCATCACCTTTATGGACAATAAGGTGGAGCATCGCATGCTGGGACCTGCGGCTTCTGGGAGCTGTGCCCCTATAGTAAGGATGAAGGAGAATTAAATTTTTTCCATTTGTGCGTGGTAACTTGTGGTCCTTGGGTTCCCACCAGGGTCATCATCACCTGCCAGCCATGCCCAGTTTGGCCAGTCTCATTCTAAACTAGATCTCAGGCCCCTGGTTTTTTTTTGTCCCTCCAGGTTTGATGATAAATACACGCTAAAACTGACCTTCATCAGTGGAAAAACCAAACAGCAGCGGGAAGCAGAGTTCACCAAGTCCATCGCAAAGTTTTTTGATAACAATGGAACATTAGTTATGGAAGCCTATGAGCCAGAAGTCTCCAAGCTTCATGACGGGTTGGCCACGGAAAGGAAAATAAAGTGATCCCAGCCCTTACCTTCCTGGCCGGGTCAGGCTCAATTACCAATAAATTCACATCACAACACATGTTAATTGCCTCTGTTTTTGTACTGAAATCCTATTCAGCTCTGGATGAGCAAGATTTTTAATTTTGGATCCAGGATTTTTAGAGCCAAAGGTCTAGGTGCAGTAGTTGACCTGCCTTTGTGGTGGCTCTGTGTCACAGGCCAGCTGGGCACTGTGAGTATATCAGTTTAGTCACTAGGCTGTTTGATTCGGGATTGAGGAGGCAGAGTAGGGAGTAAAGCAATGGCAAGTTTATTATAGCTTACACACACAACAGTTAACAGAAAGATAAATGCAATAAGTAGATAATGCAGTATTAAAGAGCTAATAGTAAATAATAACAGATAATAACAACAGATAAATGGATCAATCTTTTGCAGACCAGCTGAGCACTGCGAGGGTATCAGCCACTGGCTGTTTTAAACAACAAATAGACAGACATGGGATGGCAACTTACTGATAGTCCCTCAATGCCAGGTGTGTGCCAGGTGATTCCAGTGAAGTCCACCATCCTCAATCAGCACTGTCGAAGGGATTACCGGGGAAGGTCCCTTGATCAGGATCTGATCCTCACTCACACGGGGAGTCCGGGGTCTAGGTGTGGAATAAAAATGACTGTTCTGTTCCCTCCTTCCTGCTGGTCACCTGATGCACGTGCTTTTTATACCTAGTCTTATGCTAATCTGTTGGCTTTAGAGCCATTCACAATCTTGTTCTCTAGCTATTACCCTATGGGATTAAAAGGTGTTAAAAATTATTATAAAAGGTTACTACCCAGACTTAGGTTTATCCAATAAGCAAATTACAACACAGCATCTTCAGGTTTGAAATTAACATTACTCTGCCTAAATCCAACCCCTTTAGATCTCTCTGACTATGCTTCTTTGAGATGTGCTTTCCTGGAATGTGCTGGGTAGGCCAGGTGGTTGAATCCAGTTTTTATCATCATCAAGGCTAAATTCTGAGCAAGAAAAAACCGTTAGGTCAGCTAATTTTACAACTATAGCTTTGTCTTTGAGGCCAAGTCAGTTTTACAAACAGTTAGAAGTTACATTTGTGGGTTACAAAAATACAAGCTTTATATTAGACACAAATTCCAAATGCCTCTAAGAAGCACATATTTATTCCTTATTAATTTCTTGGATCTAGCTGTCACAATCTACCCCTTGCTCCTCTGGAGCATTTGGTAAGGCCTACAAATATGATTTCTGCCAGGTGGCATATACATGGTTGGCAGAAACAAAAACATTTATTTTGGCATGGGTATTAGACTTAATCTTTAAATGTTGTTGTTATAAAATTATATTGAACAATATTAAGCCCATAACCAAACATCACTGCTACAAACTAAGGAAAGGGGGAACCTTTAGTAAAGGTATACATTTGCACAGTATAAATTATTTCATACCACTTACACAGCAGGGGAATATTAGTACCACATTTAATAATTTGCCCCCCCTCTTGAGCTATGGGGGCAAGTTGTTTTCCTTTTCGGGCATCTTCAAACAAACCTTTAATGTGGGCTGCCACTTTATCCCATCCTTTTAGCTGGGGCATGTCTACATCCTTAACCCAGGATTTTGGAAGACTTAGGTTAAGGGTGATGCTTTCTAACTGGGTTTTCAGCCACATTAAAATAGCTTTCTGGCCTTGGACATTTAAAATAGCAGATGCTCCTTGAAAATCTTGAGCTACTGCACAGCAGTTGGTGCAGGAGGTCTAAAACGTACTGTTGGGATGTACAAGTGGCCAAAACATTCCCAACAAACCCGCTGAGTTAGGGTAACATAGGGAGTTGCTGGTAGGGGTGTTACACAAACCGTGTCAGGAGGACTATTGGGCCACCCCCTCCATAAAGTTCCTGAGCCTATTAAAATGCCATTTACGGGATACACTGGAGACTGAGCTAAATACTTGGGGATTTCTGGGGTTATAATTTTCCAAATGGGACAATGTAAGTCCCAGTCCTACATACATTCTTCCCCCAGTCCTGTTGTTAAGAGAGGGGGCAGTGGACCTTGTGCTGTTTGCTCCCTCATGTACGACAAAAAAGCATTTTGTCTTGCTACGCCCCCCACATCGTGTGCTTCATGTTTCTCCGTAAACTAACCATTGGGGTAAAACAGGGTAGTCCATGGCGCTTTAAGCCAGCAGGCCATCCTTTGTGTCTGAGAGCTCTCATCACCTGGAGGACTGGTGTATTTGGTGAGCTGTACACCATTGTGGCAAAGTGCCATGGGGCAGGGGAACCACTGGAGCTATTGTCTCCCATGGAGGTGGGGTTGGAGGGTTTCGCTGCCTCTGGGCTCTGGATGGTTGCAGAATCTCGAGCTGCCGGCAGAGTTGTGGCAGTGGTCACACCGGGACCCAGGGTGGGCAGCATACCTGCAGGCAGAATATAACAGCAGCAGGGCCATTGGAAGAAACCACAACGATTTTCCCCTGTCCCACACTCGTTTTTCCCAATTCTGGCATATGGGAGGAAACTGAGTAACCACCCTGTCCCACTGTAACACTGACAGATTCCCCCTTGCCAGTTCACAATCCATTGCTGACGACTGACAGGCCAGTTTTGCACTTCTTCGATTGCAGCTGGGCGCTCCCAGTGGGTCTGAAGCCTTGGCAGTGGGTGCGGGAGCATGGGGATGCCCCACATTAGTCAAACAACAGCACACAACTAGCAGTCTCGTCATGATGGCATTCCACCCTGTCACTGCTGGATGAGGGTGGCGGTGTTGCTCTGGAGCAGGATGATGACTCCAGAGCGCCCCGAGGCCAATCCTCAGTTGGTTTATGTACCAGCCACACTGGGTTGTTGTACAGGGAATGAATTCGAATGATGGCTCCATCCTCCAGCTGCCGGTCAATAATGTCTCGAATGGGTTGTGTTGCTTCAGGAGGTGTGCAGTATTGAGGTCAGTGCACCCCCGTCGCAGCTGCCAGGGTGAGCGGGGTCATAGAAGTACTGCCGGGCTACTGCCGTCATCACGTCTTCCTGCTCGCTCTCCTGGGCTGTGGCAGAGCCAAACTGCCAGGTTTCCTGCTTCAGGATAAAATGCTGCCCCTGCAACACGTTCAGACCCAGCAAATTTGAGCTGATTAGTATGGAGCCATTAGGCAAGGTGAACGTGGGTCGGAGCAGACGTCCTGGTGGTTTGGTGCCTCCCATTCCTACTACCGGGTAGGGGGTTCCCCGTGCTCCTTTTTATTCTGCACAGTTTAAAATGCATAGCTGGGTACAAGTGTCTAGCAGCATGTTCATTGACTTTTCACTTCAACTTAATTGAATGTGTACAGGTATCTGAATTAAGGGGTTAATATTAACTTTAGATACTGTGGCTTGCTACTGCCCCCATTGTGGCCCCTTTCTTTGGGGGCTGGGCCGGCTATTTCAGCTTGGCTCTTTGACCACACTGCAGACTTTTGTTGGCTGAGTCTCATTAAAATGTCTGAGAAGGGTTAACTGCTAAAACTTCCCAAAGAATCAAAACTTACCGAGTGACCCAAGTAAACAGAGCAGAGGCCTTGCAGTTAGTGGAAAACAAGCTAGTTTGGGAATGGACTTCTAAACCTGGAGACTTTGCATTTGGGACAAAGAAAGTTGACGCTGGATGCGTCTCCATGTGCAATTAGCATGCAGCAATAAACTCCGGTGCGTATTACTCCCAGGCGCACCGCTTGACTGGGCACTTGGGACTGCAGTGTGTTGAGCCGGGAGCGTGGGGTCAGCCTACCAACCCAGAGCTGCTTCAACCTGGCACAATGTGCTGTGGAGGGGCTGGCTGCAGCATGAGAGTGATTCAGTGCAGGACTAGATGGCAGGCAGCCCCTGCACTGAAGCCCCCTCCTGCCCCAGCAAGCCATGTCAGCGTCTACGTGTGTGCTGCTGCAGAGTAAAAAAAGCTGCAGCAAGTTGGTACTTGTGTTTCCAAGTACTACCCTGCTGCAGAGTTTATTAGTTTACTCCAGCCTAGTAGCCCTGCACATATAGACACGAGACATTTGCTGAGGAGCTAATTAGTCTACTCCACAGCAAATGCCTTGTCTAGATGCACCCACTGGGATGCCTTTATGTAAAGTGAAGGTACAGGTACCTACATGATCCATGTTCAGTTCCACATGGGTGGTTTTTATACGAGTGGATCATGTGCGTCAAACAACCGTAGAAGATATAGATATATCATTTGTATGGGGGGGGGGGGGGAAAGCAAGTCAGGGATTGATGTATCTTGTGTTATTCCCCTACTGCCAGCAGCCAGATCAGCTCCCCAACAGCAATTAAAGGTTACTCCAGTAACAAACTCGTGACCTGTACTTCGTGTGTCTGAACTTGCAGACGACAAGCCGTGGAACTTGTTAGCCCGTCTTATTTACACCCTTGGGCAAGCGTGGGCCTAGGCCCACTGAGTAAGACTATAAGCCTTCCTCAAGAAGTAGGCCACGGAGGACGTAACAATTGTTTCCTTGGGACAAATCAAAAAAGCAGGGAAAGGAGTGAGGGTCGTAGGTTTGTAACGAGTGCACTGAGGGGGGCTACCAAGCAGAGCACGCCGGACGCTGCTGAGCCAGGAGACTGAGCTCCCTCTGAAGAAGAGCCCTGCAAGAGACAACGCCAACGTGCCTGCGACACGCAACACCATTGTGCCCGTGAGAGACAATGCCAACATGCCCGTGTCACAACGCCGACGTACCTGCGACACAACGCCATCGTGCCCGCGAGAGACAATGCCAAAGTGCCCGCAAGACCACAGCAACGTGCCCACAAGAGACAACGCCGATGTGCCGGCAACACACACCACCAATGTACCCGCGACGCACAGTGCGAACTTGCCCACGACCCCCAATGCCAGCATGCCCGCAACACATGACCCAGACGTGCCCACGTGCTTGTGTACACCAGTTATGGATCACGGCGCACAGACTTTAAGTCAGGAGGAACCAGCTGCCCCAGGAAGATGGCAACGCGGTTTGCAAGCAGGGGCAGCACAGGTGCAGGTGAGGAGCAGCCTGGCAGGGGCAGGGGCAGGGGAGGAGCAGGGCCAGGGCCTGGCTCAGCAGTGGGCGGAGACGCAGGGAGGGCGGGCTCAGCCTCTGCAGCCCAGGGAGGTGCTTTCCTGGCAGACAGCAGCGCCTGGGCTGGGCAGAGCGGAGGGTGAGCGCAGGCTGCAGTGCACGGGCTGGGGGGCTGCAGCCGCTGCCTGGGCAGAGGGGATGGGGTGGGGGAGCAGGCGGTGCCCCTCCCAACCCCGGGCTGCTGCAGGGGAGCTGATGGAGAGGTGGGGGCTGGGGAGACACCCCCCCCCGCACCTATCCTCTACGGGTGCCCCCTCTCCTGCTTGCGTGGCGGGTCCGGGTCCCTCTCCCCCTCCAGGAGCCGGTGACTGCAGCCAGGGCCCTGGGGCTGGGGGGATGGGTGAGTGTGCAGAGCTGCAAGGCTGGCGTGAGCTCAGATCCAGGCCGCGGCGTGCAGGAGATCACACCCGGCTCACCCCGGGCTGCTGGGAGCCACATTGGGCCCTGCACGGGTGCTGACAGCTCAGGGCTGTGCGGCCCTCAGGCCCAGCACCCTGGCCGTGACGCCTGGCTGCAGTCCCCGGGGGTGCTGTGCATGCAGGGGCTGGGCCCCAGGGCTGCAGGAGAGGACGGTAGAGATGGAGCGAGCGCCCAGCGCCTCTGCCCCCCCTTGCCAAGACCACGGCACCTTCTGCCCCCTCCGGGGCTTGTCAGAGAACGAGCGAGGCTGCATTTCGGGTCTAGGATCCCCCTGCCCCTTCTCGCCGTCTGTAATGCAGCTGTTTCCTTCTCTCCTCATCGCGTTCCTGCTTCCATCCAGCTTTGGGGCAGTCTGGAAAGCCCCCCCCCCCGCTGGCACCAGGCCATTGCTGGGGCAGTCTAGAAATGCTACGGTCATGTTTCTCTCCGTAGTGGGGGCTTTTGGGGGCTGCGCCTGCCCAGACACCCATTTTGGGCTGAAGGCACCGGGACTAACTCCCATCAGAAGGAAGTCAAAAGCAGGAGGGGGTCCGCAGAGAGGGGAGAGGGACACCTGTGCCCAACTCTGCAGCACGTGGGGTCATAGAAATCAAAGCAATCCTAGAGAAGTGGGGCTGGGACCCCCAGAGCTCACATCTAGTCCAACCCCAGCCCCAGCCAAAGCAGCCCAGACAAGGCCACTGTCTGAAGGCTTAGCAAAACTAGCCTCAACCCTGGCAGGACGCAGACATCACACCCAAACCTGCCCCGGGGAAAGCAGGGGGGCCACGACAGCTAACATCCTGCTTCTGTAAAAGTTGTTAATGCACGCTCAGGAGATCCCAGGCAGAGGCCGTGCAAACCTCCCTGTCCCCCCAATCAATCTGACCATGGGGGGAAATTCCTTCCTGACCCTAAATGTGGCATCAGTCTGACCCTGAGCGGAGGGGCAAAACCCTCTAGCCAGGACCCTCCAGCTTTGCTGCCAGCAGGAGCATTGTCACAGCTCGGTCCCCATCCCCAGCCTGGGGTGCAGCAGCACCCAGCGCCTCTGAGAGAGACTTAAACCCCCCTGGAGCAGAAAGCGCAGGGGGGCAAGCAGGGCCCGTACCCTCCCCCTCAGCTCCCAGGCTCTGGCCCAAGCCTGGTTCTCCCCGACCCACCCCCTGGGCAGGAAGGCACAGCAGAGGTTTAGCCCCCTCGAGGCTCGGTGTGATCCCCTCCTCTCTCCCCGCAGCCGTTGCCGTGCATGGAGAAGCCATGCCCCGGGCTCCAGCCAGCACCAGGAGACAGATTCTTTTCTGGCCGGAGGCGCAGAGCGGGGTGACCTACCGGATCCCGGCGCTGCTCTACCTCCCCCGCACCCACACCTTCCTGGCCTTCGCCGAGCAGCGCTGCTCCGTCAAGGACGAGGACGCCAAATGCCTGGTGCTGCGAAGGGGCCGGAAGCAGGGAGCCTCGGTGAAGGTAATTCCTCGTGCGCCGGGTGCCAGCTGGCGGCCCGGTGCCCAGCAGACCCATCTCTCTCTGCTCTCAGCCCCAGGCTGTCTCAGCCTTAGCACGTACCAATACGCAGGCTCCAGAGCCCCCGGGGGTGACTTGTGGTGCCCTCCAGACACCTCTCACGCCAGGCTGGATGCCTATGAGGTGCTGCGCACTCCTTCGAGGGGCTCCAGGCCTTTCCCTGCTGTTGGAAGCTAGCAGGAATCGAGCGCGTTTTCCAAATTGACCCCTGAGGCCTGGGATGGCCGATCATCTCTGCATCGTGCAACAGAAGCAATACATGCTTCTCCTGCCTACAGCGTCCACAGAGCCCGGTCCCCTCAGCCTCCTGTCATCACCCTCCCCTGCGTTGTGTATGCATTGTGCAGGCGGCCCTTCGCAGCACGCAGGCGGTAGCACCACTATCTGTTTAGGGCAAGCTGATAATCTCTTTAAGCGCTGGTCACATGCCCCCTTCTCCGCACCCACCAGGGACAGGCAACAAGCAGCAGGCGAGGCAGAGCTGCCACTCTCAGAGGACCCCACCGTGTCCCGGGGCAGGTGGAGCATCCCTCGGCGCTGGCGTACGCTTTCTCCCACACAATCTCCCAGTTTCTGAAAGCCGTCGCCCTCCAGGGCATATGGCATAAGGGTCCTCTGTTTGCTCAGACATCAGCCACGGCAGGGCAGGGTGGGAAATCAAGCCTCCAGCAAAAATAGGCCTTGATCTCATTCATGACACATTGCTCCCAAGTTAAAAATACCAGCGTGGCTCATCCTCACCACCCCACCCCCCCATGGGCTCCAGATGGCGGCTGGGCCAAGACAGCTGATTGCAGATGATGGGGCTGCTAGAGTCCCTTCCCGTCACACGGACAATTGCGTAGTTCATGTGTGCCGTGTCTCTAATGGGAGCTGGCCTGTGCCTCCATCACGCTGGGAGCCACGTGGGGAGGAAAAGCAAACGCCGATGGAACCAGAGGCAGCTCCCAAAGGAGAAGTCATCGAAACTGGGATAGCCCACACCATAATTATGTGGGGCGGGAGCATCACAGGCCTCTGTTTCAGGGCAGGGCTGGTTTTCAGCGGTGTTGGTTATGCAACAACTCTTTCCAGGGGTGGGAGGGAAGTTTGGTGTCTATGAGCTCTCCAGTTGTACACCCCAGTCTTCTTGATCACTAGAGAGGCAGCCTTCTTCCGGGGTCATAGAGATGCCCTGAGGAACGGGCCAAGCTTGCTAACCTCCCGGGTCTCCCCCTCTCTCCTTCTTGCCGCAGTGGGGGCCCATCGAAACCCTGACGGCAGCCGTGCTACCAAACCACCGCACCATGAACCCCTGCCCAGTGTACGAGAAGGACAGTGGGACGGTCTTCCTGTTCTTCATCTGCGTGAGGCAGCGCGTGACAGAGCAGCACCAGATCCGCACCGGGAGGAACGCCGCCAGGCTGTGCAACGTCGCTAGCAGGGACGGCGGCCAGACCTGGAGCCCGCTAACGGATCTGACGGAGCAAGTGATCGGGGAGGACCTGAAGAAGTGGGCCACCTTTGCGGTGGGGCCAGGCCACGGGGTGCAGCTCAGCTCTGGGCGGCTGGTGATCCCAGCTTACACCTACTACATCCACACCCGCTTCTGCGGCATTCCTGTGTCCTGCTTCACCACGCCCCACTCCTTGATCTTCTACAGCGATGACCAGGGCCAAAAGTGGCATAAAGGCAAGCTCCTCAAGGGCAAGAGCACAGTGGAGTGTGAGGTGGCCGAGGTGAGAGACGCGGACAGAGGCCCCGTGCTGTACTGCAATGCCCGCACCCCGGGCAAGTGCCGGGTGGTAGCGTTCAGCAGAGACCGCGGGGTGGATTTTGCAAGACCGTCACAGTGTACGGAGCTGTGCGAGCCGCCTCACGGGTGCCAGGGCAGTGTGGTGAGCTTCTTGCCAACAGAAGAGCCTGCTGCGGTGGATGGTGTGGAAGGGACGGGCCCTGACGTGGGTGAGAAGACCTGCTTGGCACGCTGCGGGAATGCCTCTTCCACCACCTGCCACGGTGCCACCTCGTGGCTTGTCTACTCCCACCCCACCAGCAGACGCAGGAGGGTCAACTTGGGCATCTACCTCAACAAGACTCCTTTGGAGACGAGCAGCTGGGAAAGCCCCTGGGTCCTCTACCAAGGGCCGTGTGGGTACTCGGACCTGGCCGTGTGCGAGGAGTCGCCACCTCTGTTCGGCTGCTTGTTCGAGTGCGGGGTGGTCTGCCCGTGCGAGCAGATTGCTTTTCAGTTCTTCACCCAACAGGAGCTGGAGAGCCATGGGCGCTCCTCTTCCTCCGAGCAGCAGCCAGAGACAAAGATGGATGTTGACCAGACAGGGCCGTATCCCAGGCAGGAAGAATCGCCTAAAGCTCTTCATCTCGGTGCCACGGGGGGCCATTGAAACCACAACGCCTGCTCTTCCAGAATCGATCTCCTTGCGCACCTCGGGACAGCTTTTAGGGGAGCTGAGCCTCCGCACTCCACGTGCACCTGCGGGTGCTCAGCCCTTCCAGCCCAGTTAAGCTCCCACCAATCCCAGCCTGATTTGCTACCAGGAGCCTCCAGACCAGCTTTTTTTGCAAGGTGGTTCATTTTGGAGCCTCACGGGGCTGTTCTCCGGGCACCAGCTTACATGTAGTACAGCCTAGACTGTTTGGTTTGGAAATCCACTAAAAGCACCAGATTCTGGGCGGGTGTAAAGTGCATAGCCCTGTCGCCTTTAATGGGGCTGGTTTACAGCCGGCCATGATCTGGGCCTGGGTTGCCCAGTCCATGGTCCACAGTCAACCCTTGATCTGTCTGCTGGGACTGACAGCCCTCGTGGTGTGGCCTGTCACCCTGGGACACCCCCCATCCATTAAGAACCATGCTCTGTCCAAAGAGAGCTTGCTTGGAGAAGGGAAGAAAGGCAATGAAAAGGAGTATCTGCAGAAGAGCAGCACCGTGTATGATCCAAGGCAGCTGCTGCCTGCGGCGGGGAGGCTTGCTAGCGTCTCCCGCCACCTTGCTCAGGCCTGCTCTCCCGCAGCCCCTCTCCAGAGGGAACAGAAGAGTATTTGGCAAGTGCTCTGGAGATGGAGAATGCATAACGAGGGCCAAGCTGCCACGCTTCTCTGCCTCTGAGCCTCATCTTTGCAATGTAGCAATCCATCCCCTTTTCACCCGTCCTTAGCCAAGACTCGCAAGCCCAGGGACCGTTTTCCGTGTGAATGTTTATACATCATCTAGCACAATGAGGCCTTGATAGAGGTTGGCATCCCTGGGCTGTGGGAAGTGGTCTGCCCAGCACCAGGCCACATATGCTTTCATAGTGTTTTGAATTAGAAGCTGGATGATGACGACGCCTGATTCTGCTAAGAGAGGCCCGTCAGTCCCAAAACGTTGGGAAACACTACACGAAGCAGTAATTGTTTCCAATGTTGACTGTAAGTAATACTTCCTCTAGCACACTTCAACAGTCCAGGAAGCCAGGATCCTGGTTACATATCTTAAAGGTTTTTTTCTTTTTAAGCACTGAAGCATTCTTAGCTCTGCAGACTAACTCGAATCTCACCAGCCTTTGTTTCACAGGCTTTTGGCTTTTTGTTTGTAGCATCATTTACCCACACAGCCCTGACCCCTGGACCGCGATCAGATACCGCACTTGCACACTCGATGCACCTTCCCCCCAAAAAATCAACCCTCCAAAATGACCTGGACTAGATCCACCCTCCAAGATGACCTGCATGCCAAGGCCCCTTCCAACCCTAATTTTCTATGAAAATGAAGGGGTGTGTCTTAAGTGGAGAAGCCAGTTTTTCTTTGCTGGAATAGAAGCAGGGAAGAAAAGAAGCAAGCAGACACTGCTTTTTTAAATACACAGCAGGTAAAAAGAAGGTACCAGGTAATGTGGGGCCCCTGCAGGACATGCTAGGAAATTTGGTCGTCACACCAGACAACAAAACTAACATATTTAACGATTTCTTTGCCTCCATTCTCCTGAGCAGAGGCCCTCTCAGGCCCCAGGGGAGGCGCACCCAGGCCCAGGGTCAGGGAGGATCTAGTCAGGGAGCGTCTGGAGGGACTGGACGTGTTCAAATCAGCCGGTCCAGACGATCTCCACCCCCGAGTGCTGAGGGAATTGGCTGCGGTCATTGCAGGACCCCTGGCACAGCTGTACGGGCACTCGTGGTGCTCTGGTGTGGTGCCAGAGGACTGGAAGAGGTCAACGTGGTTCCCATCTTCAAAATGGGGAGGAAGGAGGACCCAGGAAACTACAGGCCAGTTAGTCTTACCTCGATCCTGGGCAAGCTTTTTTGAGAGAGTTATCCTGGCGCATGTCCATGAGGGGCCAGCAGGGAGATTATGCTTAGGGGCAACCAACACGGGTTCATTAGTGGCAGG